GGACAGCGGGGGCAGCGCAGCGCAGGAGCCGGCCAGACGAGCCCCGCCTCGCGCGGGAAGGCTGGCGCGCAGAGCGCAGGGGCTGGACGAGATCCGCTGCGCTTCGGCCCGTGCTGGGACGTGCACGCCGAGGAAGGCGGGAGCGGGCCGGGCTCACAGCACCGCTTTTCCACGCCGCTCTCGCCGTATTTCCACACTTTTCCCACAGAACGTCCGGAAGTCACTGCACATAATCACCGCCCGCTCTTCCACCCGCAGGTCCCAAGTCCGCACGCCGCTGCCCGCAGACAGCGCCCTATCCCCACACGCGTTTCCGCGCCACGTTCCCACAGGAGCGCGCAAAAGCGCCACTCTCCCCACACACGGCCGGCGTCAGCTACAACAGAGCAGCCCTTCAGGGAGGCTTTGGGGCCAGCCCTTGGGTTGCAACCGCGCGCACACGGCGCTCCGCTCGCTCTTGGCCACGGGCAGATTGCGTTGCTTTCGCCATCAGGCTTGTCCAAGACCCGAAGTGCGGGGCACTGGGTCCGAGGACTGCTCCGTTCCCTGGCACCCAGTGCCGCTGGTTGTAGTGCTTGGGAATGAGGCACGTACAGAGAGTCTTGGCAAGCTCCGGATGCAGGATCTCAGCAGTAGGCAAAGAGAGGAGTTAGCCAGCCGGCTGGGGAAGGCGGAAGGCAGAGGGCTAGAGCGCGATGGCGACAGCATGGCCCTGTACCAGAAAGGTTTCCAGGAGGGCTGAGGAACTATCCTGGGGCATCCTTTCCATCCTATAGGGCTGGGGAAGAGTATAGAGGAGCATGCAGGGAGATCGCGCAACAAGGGCTCGTGCCAGGGGCCTGCTCAGGCCCTGGCAACGGCACTCGTGCATTCAAAGTGGTGCAGGCTGGCCGCAGTGGCCAGGCACCTGCTCTCTGTGCACACGCCTCTCCCCTCTGCCGGCTCGTGGCCCCGCACCTCGGCTGGCATCGCTGCCTCCCAGCCCTGCCTGCACCAGCCCTTCACCTCGCTGGCCGTGAGCGGGGTCCCTCGGCGGAGAAGCAGGCGTCACAGCACTGCAGCCGCATGGGCCGTGGCGAGGAGGGCGACTACTCCAAGTGCCTGCACACCAAGGACAGCCCCTGAGTGCTCTACACTGCCGTGCCGGTGAGTGGGCCCTGCTTTTCCCCAGGGCTATGGAGAGGCCTGAACACGGTCCCTGGCTGGCAGGTGGAACAGTCATTGGAGGGGGCATTGCAGCATCTGTCCTTGGAGCTGGGCCGCGTGTGCCACAATTCAACAGGGGATGGGCACGCGCCGTGGCTCTTGGGCTCACGCTGACTGCTCATGTGTCACCGTGCTAGTCACCCCCCGCTTCTGCTCCACAGATGCCCATCAACGCCTCCAGTGCCCTGACTGGCTCACCAGCTGTGCGTGGTCACAGCCGTAGCTGCCCACTTCTCTGACATGATGGATGGCATCTACGTGGCCCAGACGATTGAGAAATTCATTGTCTAGGTTGACCACACAAAGCTGGTGATGCTCCCTCACCTGCTGCCCACCATGGCGCAGTCCTGAGGGGTGAGCATGGAGGGGAAGGGGGCCCATCCCACACTCAGAAGATCACGGGCTACAGGCCTGAGAAACGGGGGGCCTATGGGTCACGAGTGAGAGGCACTGCTGGCTACAGGGGC